ACTCCCAGAATTCCCCAGCCAGCGAATGCTGGCTGGGGAATTCTGGGAGTTGAAGTCCGGACATCTTCAAGTTGTCAAGGTTGAGAAACACTGGCTTAAAGTAACTATAGCTATATGTTGAACTTAGTGCTGCTGCCCCTGAGTCTTACTTTGAAATAACAATTGGATAATTTCTAATGTCAGTACCTTTCTTATTGAACACCTTACTCTAAACTCAGTGTGCAAGACATGGCTCTTTCACTTTTCTACAGATTAAAAGGTCAAAATGCAAAAGTTTAAAGAATTTCAACAGTGCTCCAAGAAGATCACAAGGAAATTCAAAGGAGAATAAAGGCTGAAAGCAACCCCAATTCTATACTTACTATATACAAAGATAAAGAAAATAAGACTTAGTACAGTACTGAAAAGTCTGAAAGTTAGCTTAAATTCATAGTTATGTTACATATTTCAGCAGGATTCCTGAAGCAAAGGTCCTCTGCTTCCTTTCCAGGAGTTTTCCAGCTTTTTGGTGATTTCAGATATTTTTCAGAGGCTGCAAGGAATTATGGCTAGCCCCATTCTTTTCCCACTGACTTCTTCCTTTGTTCCTTAAAAGGCAAAATGTTTTCCAAATCTAGCCAGAAAAGTAGCTAGAATAATCTGGCTTGTATGTGACAAAACAGCCATCTCTCACTTGTAGGGTTTGGGTTATAAATCAGCAGTGTAGCATGTAGTTTACGTTCACAATTATCCTAAAATGAAATCTCATGCATATTTACTTGGAAAGGAATCCCATTATGTTAAATTGGTTTTATTCCAGCAGTAATTTCAACCTTTACGCCGTGAATAAAAAGTTGATCTCACTGTGAATCCTAATTCTGTTCCAGGGGAGAAGCCATATGCATGCATGGTACCAGGCTGTGGAAAATGCTTCACAGAATATTCTAGTCTCTACAAACACCATGTAGTTCACACACATTGCAAACCATACACTTGCAACACCTGTGGCAAAACCTATCGGCAAACTTCTACTTTGGCAATGCATAAACGTACCGTGCATGGGGAGCTGGAAGCCATGGATGATAGTGAGCAAGCTCTCTATGAACATCAGTTGGAAGGTGAGTAACCTTGCAATTCTTTTCACTCTCCAATTTACTGGCACACAGCTTTGTTTTCACCTTGTGTTCAATTTTCTCTGCCACAGAGCCATTTGAATGGTCTCTCTTAGTTGGATTTCTTCTACCAATTTTTCTTTCTTTGTTCTCTCAGATACCATAGTGAATAACAGCAGACCTCCATTGAAAAGTCATTGTATTGTTTCTATGAAGATGGAAGATGAAGTGCAGGAAGATTCCATGCCATCGGCAGCAGCTCTTGTTTCTCAGGATGGTGTAGAGCAAGTATGAAGGACAATGGGAGGAGGTATTCTTGAGCTGGGGTATCCAAGGCAGATCAGTGGAAACAATTGCAATAGAGGATTATTCTCCCAGAATTTTCCAAGAATTTCACTACCTTATCTACCTACAACTCTCACATAACATTTTCTTAATCTTAGCTTTAGTAGTAGACATGTTAAGAATTTTGTGGCATCTTAAAGAAAAAAGATGAAATTATTGGATTGCAGTTGAAGTATGAATTAGAGGCTTGTTAAAACATTTTGACTGACCATGAACTAAGCCTATATTCTGGTACAAATGCTATCACTGTGGTTATCGCTGTTGGAACTGGGATACATCTTATGTAGAGATCTTGAAAATATTTAACTTGAACATAGTAGTAGAAAGAAATCTTTTAAATGTAGCTGCTATACCCATGGACATTTTTCAGGTAAAAATAGTAACTTCTGGGACACTAGTATTTGAAGATTGCTTGTCTATGATCAGCACTTGGCAGTGCTAGCAATAAACTAATGGTTGCAGTGGTGGATTCTGGCCGGGTAGTAGCCACAAGCAGCGCCCACTGTACTGATTCAGTGGCTCGTTTGGCCCACCCACCTGTGTTCCATACTTGTTTTTAATGCAACCGGCCAATTGCACACGCTTGCACAGCGTGCAGCACCTGCGCAACCTCTGATGAGCAGGTGGGTGTCGCAGGAGTGGTGGAGTGTGCATGCGTGCGCAGCACGCATGCATACCTAGGACGCCTGGCCCCGTGCACAGTGTACCAGTAGCAATGGGGAGCGGAATCCACCACTGAATGGTACTCATGTTGCTGTTAAGGTAGACACATACCATTTGGAGTTCCTGTCTCAATCATGGATAGGATATCAAAAAAACTAAACATAAAATACTTACACATTAAGCAATATAACCATAAAGTGTTTAACAATCATGACTTTTTAATAATATATTCAGGCTAATATAATACATAATTAAGTCACAGGTTGACAATATTATCTGCCATCTAAAATTAGGTATAGCGTGAATTACTCTAAAATTTCTATTAGTAACAACATTTTTACATTTCCATGCTCAACTAAGTTCATAAGTTAAGGAATATCTGCATATAAAACTATATATGATATTGCTTTTAATATGAGGTAAATCAAGTTCTGACAAATATAAAAATATCCAAGCAGGAGGACACATTCCATCAACTGTGTCTCCCTAGTATTTCAAGGATAAAATCTTTGTGCTTCTTCATCTTCCTTTTAACACATGTAAAGATTACATGTTTAATTTGGCTTGATAAAAGCAATCTGATAGTTCATTTAACTTTTTGAATAGAAAGCCACCTAAAAGGCATAATTATACAGTATTTTTCAGAGTATAAGACGCATCAGAAAATAAGACATACCAAGATTTTGAAAGAGGCAAATGAAAAAAAAAAGTTTTTGCACTCTGTATACCTCCAAAAAATGGCCTGTTTTTCACGAAAACGCCCCCCCCCCCAAAGGGCATGAATAGCCTTTAGGAGGCTTGTAGAGTGCTCCTGGGGGGGTGGGAGCAAAAACAAATAAAAAACAGCCCGTTTTATGTAAAAAAGGGGCATGCATAGCCTATAGGAGGCTTATTGAGTATTCCTGGGGGCTGAGAGGGGGGGCAAAATTGAGCAAAAAATGGCCAATTTTTTCACTCATTTCTGCCCTCTCCAGCCCCCAGGAGCACTCTATAAGCCTCCTAAAAGCTCTGCACTGTCATTTTGGTGAAGGAGTGGAGTTTGGGGATGCAAGAAATGCTGTATTCAGTGTATAAGACGCACCTAGATTTTCAGCCTCTTTTTTGAGGGAAAAAAGGTGCATCTTATACTCCAAAAAATATGGTAATTAATTATTTGATAATTAGGTTTTGCTTCAGCTGTTAATTTCTGCATAAAAATATTCTGTTATTTTCGCTTGGTGAAAAGTGAATCAACTTAATAACGCTTTGAAGCACACAGTATAGCGACAGATCTAGGTAGCAGATTTTTGGAGCTAGCAGCATACTCCAAAAGCTGTTAAAACAATTGCTTGAGAGTTCAAATATTTACAGTTACTGGTCACAGTACTAAGAACATAATATTTAAGCCATAATATTATTACAAATGAGGCTTTAGTTTTAAAGATGCATTATCTGGTTTCAAAAAGGCCTGCAGTATTAGGAAGATAGCTTGAATATTTAGAGGCGGTCTCAGGACTTTCATCTATAAATTAGATCACTGGAGTTTACCTGAATTCAGATTTTTAGTGGGACATGAGCCAGTGGTGCAATGCATCTGCTGAAAAGGCAAATGGCATTTTTGGGATGGATTATCGGGAGCACAGATTTCAAATCCTAGGAAAGTAGTATATTCCCCTGTTCTGCGTTTGGAATCATACACCTAATTCTGGGCACAAAACATTGACTCACTGCTTCAAATTCAGAGGAAGACTACCAAGATAACAAGGGAATTGGAACCAAAGTTCAGTGAGGAAGGTTTAAAGAATTGATAATCTTTAACCTGCAGAAGACAAGACTTATGGGTCCTCAGATATTTATACTTTGTAGCTTAGGATAGGGGGATGATAAGACAGTGAACAAGGGGAGTAAGTTGCTAAGGACATAAAGGTGGCTATAAGACCTCAGAGGTCCCTTCAAAATCAGGATTCTATAAAATCTCCATATAATAAAGTTCACCGAGTTGGATTTACCCATATTCTAAACATGCTGTCAGGCCTGCAGCCAACTTTTCTTTTGGATCTTCTTGTGCCAAACTCTTTGGCCTACCACACTTTCTATTATTCTACTATGCATTTTCTATTGTGGGAAAATGGGAGCGGGGACTGTACAGAGTTAGATGCTATGTAGCCATAACAAAATTCTTTCTAGAAAGCCAAGGTAATCCTTTGTCTTTGCACCTCTGTACCTTATCGGAACTGGATGGGTGGAAGCTGCCAGCATGGCAGTGGATGATTGGACCATGGGATGAGTTTGTGGGTGTGTGGAAGATCTTGAACTTTCAACTGGGTGGGGAAAATTGGGAAGCTTTCAGATTCAGTTTTTTCCAGTTGTGCCAACATGGCTCT